TGTTTGCGAGCCTCAGTCGCTTACACTCTTTCTCCCCGGCGTTTGGGACCGCAGCTAACAATTATCTCCGTGTCCATTTCATTCTCAGTAATAGCCTCCCCGGCGTATACGACCCATCTGCTGTCCTTAACATCAATCAATTCATTCACGGATGTAGAACACTCGAAACAACTTCAGAAGTAATTACGACGAAAATTTTAACAAAATTACGCAAAAACAACAAGATACGAAAACAGCGAGTAAACACAATGAATCGAAAAACACCAATTGATATGACACACCGCACGTGTATACAAACAGTACACACAAACTGTCGCATCATGTCTCGATGGAATTCCTTTGAAGAATTGCAGGACTTACACCAGTACACCTACAATCCTTCTCAGGTTGACGATTGTAATTTGTGGAATGTCCGGACACAAACAAGATTAACCAACAATTACAGTAATTGGAACTCACACAATTATTTAACACAAACATATGTACAATCAACACATCAAATGTTGTGGATTCTGGCACGGCAAACTACCCTTGAAGAACTGTAGGACTTACAGCAGTACGCCCACATTCCTTCTCAGGTTGATGATCCAAGTGGAAGTCGTCCGGACACAAACAAATTTTCCAACAGCTAGATGACAGATGATATCAATTCAGTATATGCAATATCAACATATGTACAAAATCACACACCAAGCACATTGGACTGCTCATTGATGCGCTACCCTTTGAAGAATTGTAGGACTTACAGCAGTATGCCTACAACCCTTCTCAGGTTGACGTCCTAGGTTGGAAAATCGTCGCAGAGTTCATTTACTGACTTCCCGCTATCAGCCATATCCTCAAGTCTGAACGGTAACACGCCCATGTCATTGTATCGTAGAATATAGATGACGAACAAACACGCGACATATCTGGTCAACCAAGCGTAGGCACAGAGTAATTTACACCAGAGATAATAACATTCAAATAGTAACTTGAAACTAGAAATGCCTTTATTCGTGCAAGTCAATTTAACAATTACTCTCTCGTTTACACTTGTCTTATTCTCACTAAGTTGAGCAATATCTTTCGTCTTTTCAAACGCACCAATACTATCATAGTCGTTGCATAAGGCACGTGAGTTCATTGACGTCCATTTCATTGTGGATAAAAACACAAACGATGACTGAGTGACGCAAGGTGATGAACTCAGCAGTGGATCAGAAGCTGTTGTTGTTCGACTTTCAGATAATTGTCTAACTGCAAGATTACCACCACTGCTGTCTTTCACTGCTAGTTCGGGTTTAGCACTATCATCTGATGACAGGTGAGCTACACGCTGATCAATTACACTGACAGTCTAACAAGTATGCACAACTTATGGAACTGAATCTGCGTTAAATTCTACTTCACGTTCAAGTTGTACAGAAACTTTGTTCAACTTAGCAGTAGTAGGCATATCTATGACCTCATCATGATTAACCAAAGACAACAGTGATGTATCGTGATCATTATCACAAATATTCAATTTACCGTCAAGTTCATCATTTTCAAACTCTTTAATAACAGAAGTAGACAATTTTGGTTCCTCCTCACAAATGATTAAAGGCTTTATTTCTTCACTCTGACTAGTAATACCTTGTAAACTTGTAGGGTCAGAACTGCACTCTGAAGCAGTAACTCTATGCTGTGACACTGTATTCAACAACGCCTTACCAGTTGCAGCTACAGACTTGTTGACCAAACCGTTATCGTCACACAATTCGGAGTCTGGCCTGGATTTCACATTTAGCTTATCACTGAACTTGCTCACCGGTTCACAGTTCACTTCGGTATGCACCTCTTGCAAACGTGTGAAACACAACCGTGTTTGTCTTCCACCTTGTAACTTATCTGTTGAGGATGTACTACGAAACCTGTTGCACTCACTAGGTCTATATGCATTACTATACATCATGGAGCCTTCTCGATATCCACCTCTCTGAGGCCTACTCGTCATCAATGATTGCATTTTGATCTCAGACTGCTCTATTCTAGGGGTGAGATGTAATAGACTGGCGAACTTGCTCATAGATTGATTGACACTAGTATTTACCAGTTTCAGGATTTCATCAAACTTTGGCTCGATACCCTCATCCTCCATACGGGAGCTTATCTTGACACACTTCCTTTGCAGTCGAGTAGGTAGACGTCTTGCTATTACTTCTAGTATAAAACTCGAGTTGAGGTCACTCATGCGATTCATCGAAATCATTCCATTCTTGTAAATTAGCAAATTATCTAAAAACTCAGTGAGTGCCTTGGAGTCATCCTGTAATTGACCACCATTACCCTCAACAGCCTCGAATAATTTCCCTGCAATCATCGAAAGTCTTCCAAACCTTTGACGTAATATGTTCATAGCCTCGTAGTAGCCCCCTTTTCGCTTCATAAACGTAGAGCGCTTTATAGCTCTTGTAGCATCTCCAGTGCAATACCTCATCAAATACATTAACTTCAATTCATCATTTAATAAAAAACCACTCAACATGATCTCAAACTCCTTTACAAATTGTAAATAATCGGCCGGGTTTCCATCAAAACACCGTGGTTCAAATTTAGGGAGTTTGATGTTCCTATCATCCCTGAACGGCGAAACAGTAACATCAACCTTGTCATGCTTAACATCAGACACATCGTTACAATTAACAGACAAGTCACCATGACTTACTTTCCTGTTTGTATCCAAGACACTCTGTCCCTTCTTTGACCCAGGCATTGTTGAGCTTGGCCCAATTCCAAAAAGTTCCAGATATTGCTTGTTCAAAGAGGACTTGACCGGCACCAGGAGAAATGAACGGTGACTTTCCAAACTGTTACCAGCTATCTGAATCGGCCAGATCTCTTTCTACCATCAGAAACTGTCAATCACGTCTCATAAACCGTTAATGTCCAGCTCTCGCTACGCTAGGGTTCACGCTGTTCCTTGAAGTTTTCAGAAACGCTTAGTTATAACGGACGAAAAAACCAAAACACCGATCTGCCGTTTGATATTTCTGTATTGTTACACCAATATATAAAAGGAATAAGCGAACTAAGCAAACTAAGGTCTGAAAACAAATATTACAATAATAAATCATTGTATTACTTCTGACGATGTTTCACACTTCTTTCTGAACAGCGACCGATGAGACGATGACTGTCGTATTGATGCCTCCGCGAAAATTGGGGAAGTTGATTTTAAGCAAACAACCAAGAATTGATCGTTCAATCTTCAACTCCATTGACATGCCCCATTGTGCATGTACAGCAATATTCAGTTTGGCGGCTCGAGATATTTCTGAATTTTTTGGGGGCTTAGATCTTCATATTGAAAAAGAAAACAATGAACGCCTTGACAGATCATGCTTCTGCCTTTAAATATATACCATTCACCCAGCCTATTGTTGAGTTTCGACCATGTGGGATCTGCACAGATTTATGCGGTATCTTATAAATTAACTTGCTATCCATCGTCATATCTTTAAATACCACTTCACGATGTCTTATCTCATTTATTTTCTAATAACGTCTTTACTTGATCCTCATTTTACTCCATTAAACCTAACATTTTATAGCTCATTATGACTTATTCTATTCCTATTCTCTGAAGGTCACGGTTGTGCACTAATGCACAAAATGTATAAAAACAACTGGCATGAGGATAAATGTATTAAAACCAAAAGTCGATATCATGATAGTACGAGATATATGCGTAGCATTATACATTGGAAATGAACGTTGTCAGCCTAGGGAATTTCCTTTATAAACGCATTTATTAATGATAATTGCTGTCAATGTAATTGAAGATTGAACGATCAATTCTTGGTTGTTTGCCCAAAACCAACTTCCCCAATTTTCGCGGAGGAATCAATACAACAGTCATAGTCTCATCGGTCGCTGTTCAGAAAGAAGTCAGCAGTAAACCATCAGAAACCTTAGTAGAAATATTTCTATATGTTGGTGTTATAATAAAGAATTCCCAAGGGGCCAATCGGCGTTTTGGTTTTTGCGTCCGTTATTACTAAGCGTTTCTGAAAAACTTCAAGGAACAGCGTGAACCCTAGCGTAGCGAGAGCTGGACATTAACGGTTTATGAGACGTGATTGACAGTTTCTGATGGTAGAAAGAGATTCTGGCCGATTCAGATAGCTGGTAACAGTTTGGAAAGTCACCGTTCATTTCTCCTGGTGCCGGTCAAGTCCTCTTTGAACAAGCAATATCTGGAACTTTTTGGAATTGGGCCAAGCTCAACAATGCCTGGGTCAAAGAAGGGACAGACTGTCTTGGATACAAACAGGAAAGTAAGTCATGGTGACTTGTCTGTTAATTGTAACGATGTGTCTGATGTTAAGCATGACAAGGTTGATGTTACTGTTTCGCCGTTCAGGGATGATAGGAACATCAAACTCCCTAAATTTGAACCACGGTGTTTTGATGGAAACCCGGCCGATTATTTACAATTTGTAAAGGAGTTTGAGATCATGTTGAGTGGTTTTTTATTAAATGATGAATTGAAGTTAATGTATTTGATGAGGTATTGCACTGGAGATGCTGCAAGAGCGATACAGTGATGTGAGCTCATGCCCCCTAATGAGGGATACGCTGAGGCCATGAGTATATTACGTCAAAGGTTTGGAAGACCTACAATGATTGTAAAGATCGTATACGAATCCGTCAAAGGTAACGGCAGTTAGCTATAAGATGCCTCCAAGGCACTCACTGAGTTTTTAGATAATCTTATGACTTATAAGAATGCCTTGATTTCGATGAATCGCATGAGTGACCTCAACTCGAGTTTTATACTAGAAGTAATAGCAAGACGTCTACCTACTCGACTGCAAAGGAAGTGTGTCAAGATAAGCTCCCGTATGGAGGATGAGGGTATCGAGCCAAAGTTTGATGAAATCCTGAAACTGGTAAATACTAGTGTCAATCAATCTATGAGCAAGTTCGCCAGTCTATTACATCTCACCCCTAGAATAGAGCAGTCTGAGATCAAAATGCAATCATTGATGACGAGTAGGCCTCAGAGAGGTGGATATCGAGAAGGCTCCATGATGTATAGTAATGCATATAGACCTAGTGAGTGCAACAGGTTTCGTAGTACATCCTCAACAGATAAGTTACAAGGTGGAAGACAAACACGGTTGTGTTTCACACGTTTGCAAGAGGTGCATACCGAAGTGAACTGTGAACCGGTGAGCAAGTTCAGTGATATGCTAAATGTGAAATCCAGGCCAGACTCCGAATTGTGTGACGATAACGGTTTGGTCAACAAGTCTGTAGCTGCAACTGGTAAGGCGTTGTTGAATACAGTGTCACAGCATAGAGTTACTGCTTCAGAGTGCAGTTCTGACCCTACAAGTTTACAAGGTATTACTAGTCAGAGTGAAGAAATAAAGCCTTTAATCATTTGTGAGGAGGAACCAAAATTGTCTACTTCTGTTATTAAAGAGTTTGAAAATGATGAACTTGACGGTAAATTGAATATTTGTGATAATGATCACGATACATCACTGTTGTTTTGGTTAATCATGATGAGGTCATAGATATGCCTACTACTGCTAAGTTGAACAAAGTTTCTGTACAACTTGAACGTGAAGTAGAATTTAACGCAGATTCAGTTCCATAAGTTGTGCATACTTGTTAGACTGTCAGTGTAATTGATCAGCGTGTAGCTCACCTGTCATCAGATGATAGTGCTAAACCCGAACTAGCAGTGAAAGACAGCAGTGGTGGTAATCTTGCAGTTAGACAATTATCTGAAAGTCGAACAACAACAGCTTCTGATCCACTGCTGAGTTCATCACCTTGCGTCACTCAGTCATCGTTTGTGTTTTTATCCACAATGAAATGGACGTCAATGAACTCACGTGCCTTATGCAACGACTATGATAGTATTGGTGCGTTTGAAAAGACGAAAGATATTGCTCAACTTAGTGAGAATAAGACAAGTGTAAACGAGAGAGTAATTGTTAAATTGACTTGCACGAATAAAGGCATTTCTAGTTTCAAGTTACTATTTGAATGTTATTATCTCTGGTGTAAATTACTCTGTGCCTACGCTTGGTTGACCAGATATGTCGCGTGTTTGTTCGTCATCTATATTCTACGATACAATGACATGGGCGTGTTACCGTTCAGACTTGAGGATATGGCTGATAGCGGGAAGTCAGTAAATGAACTCTGCGACGATTTTCCAACCTAGGACGTCAACCTGAGAAGGGTTGTAGGCATACTGCTGTAAGTCCTACAATTCTTCAAAGGGTAGCGCATCAATGAGCAGTCCAATGTGCTTGGTGTGTGATTTTGTACATATGTTGATATTGCATATACTGAATTGATATCATCTGTCATCTAGCTGTTGGAAAATTTGTTTGTGTCCGGACGACTTCCACTTGGATCATCAACCTGAGAAGGAATGTGGGCGTACTGCTGTAAGTCCTACAGTTCTTCAAGGGTAGTTTGCCGTGCCAGAATCCACAACATTTGATGTGTTGATTGTACATATGTTTGTGTTAAATAATTGTGTGAGTTCCAATTACTGTAATTGTTGGTTAGTCTTGTTTGTGTGCAATTCTTCAAAGGAATTCCACCAAGACATGATCTGCGAGGTTATGTGTACTGTTGTATATACGTATGGTATGTCATATCAACTGGTGTTTTTGGATTCATTGTGTTTACTTGTTGTTTTCGTATCTTGTTATTATTGCATAATTTTGTTATATTTTTCGCCGTGCTTACCTCTGAAGCTGTTTCGAGTGTTCTACATCCGTGAATGAATTGATTGATGTTAAGGACAGCAGATGGGTCGTATACGCCGGGGAGGCTATTACTGAGAATGAAATGGACACGGAGATAATTGTTAGCTGCGGTCCCAAACGCCGGGGAGAAAGAGTGTAAGCGACTGAGGCTCGCAAACATCACCGTTACTAGAACTGAGGCAGAATGAGTGACAAGCGATTTCAGTGGTAATTGGTAATGAGTAGATAAGAGGATGTGCGTAGAGTATCGTGAGGTGCTGCTCTGGTCACTTTGCATTCTACAAGAGTCATTCTAGCAAGTGGCGATTGTGTTGCAAGATGTCAAGAGGAGGTCTCTGTCTGGAGGTGCAGGTCGTCATTGATGTGTGAGATTGTGCTGTGGGTATGCTTGTGGTGTGTTGGCTTTTCTGTTTGTTTTCCATTTCAGCTCTGTCCGTGTGACCCAGGTTCTCGCAATGGCATCCAAGTCAACGTGTATTGATCGCGATGGAAAAAAGGGATGGATCCCTTTTTTGCCGAGGAGTGTCAATGTAGTTGAATACTGAACTATTAATTTATGGTTGTTTGCTCAAAACCAACTTCCCCAATTTTCGCGGAGGCATCAATACACCAGTCATAGTCTCATCGGTCGCTGTTCAGAAAGAAGTCAGCAGTAAACCATCAGAAACCTTAGTAGAAATATTTCTATATGTTGGTGTTATAATAAAGATTTCTCAAGCGGCTAATTGGTGTTTTGGTTTTTGCGTCCGTTATTACTAAGCGTTTCTGAAAACTTCAAGGAACAGCGTGGGCCCGAGCGTAGCAAGAGCTAGGCATTAACGGTTTACGAGGCGTGACTGACATTTGCACTTGCCTATTTCATTACAATTCAATGATTCACCTTAGCCCTTTAATTTTTTTTAAACAGATTTCAATCCCTGGTAAAAGTTGTATTTACCTCAATATTGGTTTGTTACCGTATGCCTACAACCACGGGATGAAAACGAAACGAAGTCGATATTCCTGCTCGACTTGGAGGACAACTGTACAATTCAATAACTATAAGGCCTAGTTCAGAAAATGAGTGTATTATATGTATGAAATATTTAATAGTTGAAATATTATTACCTTGTAGACAATCTACGACTTGAGACTATATAATACTTAATTGTGCCTGTAAAAAAGGCATGAATTTCATGTAAATTTGTAAATTTTTATGAATTACATTATTATTAAGAGTAAGAACGGTAGTAGTTTTCTTCTTGATATCTAAAGCGTTTTCCATCATACACTAATCCAGACAAACCCACACGAATCCACATATGTGTACGTATGTATGTATGCATGTATATAAATTCAGATGCCGAGGTTCGAATTTACGCCTATTATCCCTAGACTGAGGAACATGAACAACAAACTCATCTTGCTGAGTATAAAATACACCATTGCAAGTAAGAGACAAGTCAATGTGACTTACTTTCCTGTTCGCTTCCAAGACAGTATGTCACCTCTTTGACCCAGGCATAGTTGAACGTAACCAAACTTCCAGAAAGTTCCGGATAACGCTTGTTCAAAGAAGACTTGGCCGGCGCCAGGGAAGTCGAACGGAGACTATCCAAACTGTAAGGAACTGTCACCAACCATCAGAAACTGTCAATCACGTCTCAAAAACCGTTAATGCCCAGGTCTTTCTACGCTGGGCCTCTCGCTGTCCCTCGAAGCCTTCAGAAACGCTTAGTACTGACGGACGTGAAAACCAGAAGACCGATTGGCGACTCAAGAATTCTTTATTCTAACACCAACATATAAGCAGCATAATAAACTAAGGTTTCTGACGGTTTTTCTACGTTCTTTCTTAACAGCGACCGATGAGACTATGACTGGTGTACTGATGCCTCCGCGAAAATTGGGGAAGTTGGTTTTGTGCGAACAACCATGAATTAATTGATCAATCTTCAACTACATTTACAGCTGTTTTAGATAATTAAAATTAAGGTGGGTCATTGAAATGTCATCAAATAAATAAGTGCAATATATCATTAAAAAATTCATTTATAAACGAAATACAATAGGAACCTAAATAATCCCTAGGCTGACAATGTTCATTTACAAAGTCTAATGTTACCTGTCAATGAAGTGGAAGACTGAACGATCAATTCATGTTTGTTTGCACAAAACCAACTTCCCCAATTTTCGCGGAGGCATCAGTACACCAGTCATAGTCTCATCGGTCGCTGTTAAGAAAGAACGTAGAAAAACCGTCAGAAACCTTAGTTTATTATGCTGCTTATATGTTGGTGTTAGAATAAAGAATTCTTGAGTCGCCAATCGGTCTTCTGGTTTTCACGTCCGTCAGTACTAAGCGTTTCTGAAGGCTTCGAGGGACAGCGAGAGGCCCAGCGTAGAAAGACCTGGGCATTAACGGTTTTTGAGACGTGATTGACAGTTTCTGATGGTTGGTGACAGTTCCTTACAGTTTGGATAGTCTCCGTTCGACTTCCCTGGCGCCGGCCAAGTCTTCTTTGAACAAGCGTTATCCGGAACTTTCTGGAAGTTTGGTTACGTTCAACTATGCCTGGGTCAAAGAGGTGACATACTGTCTTGGAAGCGAACAGGAAAGTAAGTCACATTGACTTGTCTCTTACTTGCAATGGTGTATTTTATACTCAGCAAGATGAGTTTGTTGTTCATGTTCCTCAGTCTAGGGATAATAGGCGTAAATTCGAGCCTCGGTGTTTCGACGGAAACCCAGATGATTATTTACAGTTTGTAAAGGAATTTGAGATCATGCTGAGTACTTTTTCATTAAGTGATGAATTGGAATTGATTTATTTAATGAGGTACTGCACTGGAGTTGCCTCAAGAGCTATACAGTGCTGTAAGCTAATGCCCCCTAATGAGGGATATGCTGAGGTTATGAGCATACTACGTCAAAGGTTTGGAAGAACTTCGATGATTGTGGGGAAATTACTCGAGGCTGTTGAGGGTAATGGTGGTCAATTACAGGTTGATTCCAAGGCACTCACTGAGTTTCTGGATAATCTGTTGACTTACAAGAATACATTGATTTCGATTAATTGCATTAGTGACCTCAACTCGAGTTCCGTCCTAGAAGTAATAGCGAGACGTCTACCTACTCGACTGCAAAGGAAGTGGGTGAAGATAAGCTCTCGCATAGAGGATGAGGGTATCAAGCCAAAGTTCGACGATATTCTGAAACTGGTAAACAATAGTGCCAATCAATCTATGAGCAAGTTTGCCAGTATATTGCATCTCACCCCTAGAATAGAGCAGTCTGAGGGTAAAACGCAATCATTGATGACGAATAGGCCTCAGAGAGGTGGATATTGAGAAGGCTCCATGATGTATAGTAATGCATATAGACATAGTGAGTGTAACAGGTTTCGTGGTACATCCGCAGCAGATAGGTTACAAGCTGCAAGACAAATACGGTTTTGTTTTACACGTTTGCGAGAAGTGCATAAAAAGGCGAAATATGAATCAGTGAGCAAGTTCAGTGATATGCTAAATGTGAAATCCAGGTCTGACTCCGAATTGTGTGACGATAACGGTGAGGTCAAGAAGCCTGTAGTTGCAACTGGTAATCCATTGTTGAATACAGTGTCACAGCATAGAGTTACTGCTTCAGAGTGCAGTTCTGACTCCACAAGTTTACAAGGTATTACTAGTCAGAGTGAAGCTATGAAATCTTTAGGGATTTGTGAGGAAGAACCCAAATCATCCACTGCTGTTATTAAAGAGTTTGAAAATGATGAATTCGACCAGATACATGACGGTAAATTGAATATTTGTGATAATGATCATGATAGTGCAAATTTGTCTTTGGTTGATCATGATGAAATGGGGGATACGCCTACTACTGCTGGGTTGAACAAAGGTTCTGTACAACTTGATGGTGAAGTAGAATTAAATGCAGATGCAGTTGCAGAGGGCATGGCTACTCGTGAGACCGTCAGTGTAATTGATCAGAGTGAATCCCACCTATCATTAGATGCTAGTGCGAAACCGGGGCTGGTAGTAAGAGACACCAGTGGTGGTAATCTTGCAGTTGGACAACTTTCTGAAAGTCGAACAACAACAGCTTCTGATCCACCACTCAGTTCATCAACTGATATCAATCAGTCGTCGTTGGTGTTGTCATCCATAATGAAGAAGACGCCCATTAACTCAAGTATCTTGTGCAATGACTTTGATAGTATTGGTG